AAATAAATCCCTTAAGGGATGAGTTAGATGATTTAATTAAATCCCTTAAGGGATTGGTTCTTAGATTCTCTTAATTAAGACCCTTAATCAGAAGAAGAAAAAGAATTATTTTTAAAAATCATTTAATTGTCTACTTATTAAAATAGATAAAGTGTAGTATTACACTCGAAATTATGCGCATTATTAGACTGCATTATTTTGTATAATAACATAACATTAATAAATACTAAATACTATAAATAATATTTTAACACTTAATATTTAATATTTTTTATTATAATTTAATATACCTATTTTATTCAAAATAATTCAATTATTTAAAAAGCATTATAAAAAATCAAATCATTATTTTTTAATTTTTGCAAATTTTGACCTTTTATTTTTAATTGTAATAAGAAAAAGTTTCAATCCTTTTAAATAAATGTTGTCAAAACACATGTTCCAAAATGCTTGTCCCAGGCTCCCACTCTCTTGATTTAGGGTATAGGACAGAATATGTATTGCTGTATAGGTACAACCACAGGGTACAACTAATACGAATAGAAATATAAAATAGTTGTTAAACGTTACATCATTATAAATAGTAGCAATAATTTTACTAATAAAAAAACAATTAACATTAACATACTAAAAAGTATGCAATTTTTGTATGTGACATACCTACAGTATATCCATTTTATTAAAAACCTGCACACACAGGGCCATATTAACCATTAGGCAGTATAGGCAATTGCCTTAGGCGCCAAGAAGAAATAGGCGCCTTGTCCCCAACCAACTTAAAAAATTTAAAAAATGGTTTTACAAATATGAAACAAATAAACAATATACAATTATGAGTAGGTACGGTAGAGTACCAAATAATCATTTTTAAAAAATGCGGCTTCCTTTGTAATAACGCGGTGTCAAGCCGACAAAGGCGTGCCGCTCTTTAAGCGTGTGCCGCACTGAAGCGCGTTCCGAAAGAAATTCGCTTCTGTTTTTATGCCCTACACAAATTTATTTCAGATGAAATTAATCAGTAGTTAGGTAGTTATGTTAGATAGCTGTTTGTCTTCGATAGTGTAAATTTGCTATATGTTTTAAGGTAGGTACCTACCTATTTATGAAATGTTAATATTAAAAATTTAGTAAACCTACATCTTACAAAGAAATTTAGGGAATTAAAGTTGTTTTACATTTTTTTAAATACTTACTATTTTAGTACATCTTTAATAAAACTTTAGGACCCTAAAAAGTTTTTAGTAAAAACTAAAATTATACTTGCATAATATGCATTTTTAAATTTTATATCTCTGCAGCAGAGACTCTGCTAAATTATTATTAGGGTAGGTACTGAACCTACCCTAATAATAATTTTATTATAATTAAATGCATTTGTTCGAATTTACCTTTTTTCTCAGTGTTGGAGGTGATATAATACGTAACTATATTTATTTGCCTAGGGCCCCTTAAGTGTAGTATGTAATGATATGCGCCAAATTTTTAAGTGCCTAAGGCGCTCAATTGCCTTAAGCCGGCCCTGTGCACACAAAATCAATATTAAAAATAAGTATACCTACAAGTACTCACTCATTTTTATTATTTATATTTAATACTTACTTAAAATTGTCATTAAATATTTTCCACATTGCAATAATTATAATCATTAAAATATAATAAACTTTTAACTCGATGATTAGCCGTGACAAAATTTAATAGTTAAATTAGTAACGTTTTGATTATTTCGTTGTAATAAACATTAAAAACATCTTAATGAAAAATATTAAATGCAAAATTAATTTAAATTTAGTTTATGTCATTATTTAGCCGTGACTGTGTATAATTTAATAATATAATATTAAGATAATATTATGTATGTTAAAAAGTAGAAAGTCAGGTTTGATTAGGTCTGACAGGAAGGAATTTTTGATTGGTCCAAAGGGTTTTTTCACAGACTGTGGTAAAATACTTGAACTGATTGGCCTAAATTATTTTTACAGCCTGGAATATTTTTTGATTGAAGATAATAATTATGTATGCTATAAGGCTACGAAGTGAGTCTTTTTGTGCTAAGCTCAATGTTTGAGGCTGACGCGTAGCGGAGGACCACAATTGAGCGAAGCACAATAAGACACTTCTCAGCTGAATGGCAGACAATGTTATACCTATATTTGATTTTTCGATTTTTTTTAAATTTTTTGTCAAAAAATTAATTATGCGTTTAAAATTGCAAGTTCCATCGTGGGCCAACCTTTCTTTTTATTTTTTATTTTATTATAATTATATGTTAAATTGCACAAATATAAAATATATCCATAATACTAAAAAAATAATTAAAATTCGCCCAATATATTACAAAATATGTTATGTTATTAATATCCCATAATAATTACACTGGTCGACAGCAATTTTACTTCATAGGTTCCAACAACTTTTTAGGGTGTTGTTTAGGTTTTATTAAAATCGGACAAAAACTGTTCATGTTAGGGCTTATAAAATTATAAAAAATTTTGGCTCTTTTATTAAAAACAGGATTTTTAACTTAATAAATATTGGCTAAAGTATTTCCTTAACAAAATATATAACAATTTGAATGTTTGCAATTTGAAAAAAAGGTTTTTTGCAATATTTTAAAAACAAAATTTTGTCGACCAGTGTTATAAAATATTATTAGGTATATTTGTTTTAAAAAAAGTGCATTCCTTAAATATATTAAATACAAAGTTGATTACAAATTGGATGGATAAAAAAGTGAAACTTGGCTTAGGCCTAGACAGCGTGTCTGGAGAAGACCGCTTGCTGTGGCATGCTGATGCACAGTTTTCAAATTACACAATTCAGCGGGACAATTTTTAAAATTATAGTTTATTTTTTCATGTTTTATAATGTTTTTTTTAAAGCATTATTATACTAGTTATAAATTAAAAGATTAAAAGATTTTAAACAATTTAAAATTTGTATTAAAAGATAATATATCTCTTATAAACAATGTAATTTATATTTTTATATTAAGTATAATTTATGCTGTAAAAATCCTTGTAGGGTTATATTTTTAATTATTTTAAGTACGATATTTAGAATATTGGCCAAAATCAACTCAAACCGATTATATAATATATGGGCCGGTAATAGAAATTCTTACGCAAGTTACTCTATTTTTTTATAAATTTCGCTTTAAAGAAATATTTAATTTAATTCATTTTATTTTTAGATAATAATAAGTATTTGTCGTAGAAAAAGTATACTATGCAACTAGAGTTTTAAACTTTAAAATTTAAATTTGTGGAAAAACCTGTTTTTTTTCTAGAAAAAATTGTCTTTTTTGGAAAATTTACACATTTTTAAAAAAGTAACAAAAAACTTCTTAACTCCTTTATTACAGAAATCCTAAATTGAATTAAATTGATTAATTTGATTTAAAAAAACAAAAGTAAACGTATTAATATGGTCGGTTGGGTCTTTTTTGAAAAAAGAAGTCCATCCAATTAAAAAATACTGAATTTAAGTTAAATTACAAAATTATATTTTTAAATCGAAGTGTCAAAAATAAAACGAAAGTTATGTTAATACAGCACCGAATACCTATGTTCTTTTTGCGGCCAATTTAAAAAAAAGGAATAATTATTATATTCATCATATTATATGATTATAATTAGCGAAGAAAATTCACCTTTTTCTCGATATCAGTGTACAGATATTATCCTTAAAAATTTGTAAATTTTCAGAAAAATTTAATTTTGCATTTTTTTGCATTAACTTTGTAATAAAAAATAAAATGGAAAAGTCAATTTTTCTGAAAATTTCCCAATTTTTTAGTTTTTTTTTCGAAAAGAAACGGTAATTTCCGGAAATTTTAAAACCCTATATATATGCAACTTATATAAACTTTTTTAGCCAATAAATTCGTGACTAAAATGGCGTTTATTAAACTTGATACAAAATATACCTACTATTAAATTCTAGGTTCTCATGCTTAATCATATATTTGATATTTTATGTTTAATGCATGTAAGTAAATGTTAAAACTTAAAAAAAAGTTGTATTTGTAAAAGTTATATTGAACTTGAATTTTGGTTAAAAATACTTCAACTTATATCTCAGTTTACGTGTTCGAGGGTTTTACGAGAAAATATTTTTAAAGCCCTTTTATTTAATAATGAAAAAACGTTCGAAAAATAACTTTTAGGGTAATTTTTTTAAGTAATTAAAAAATATGCTGTTAAAAACCGTATTTTTGTTAGTATACCCTAAAAATTTTGTACAAATTAAACGAACTGTAACGAAGATACAGCGCTTTAAAGTCGGTAAAAATGGCCCCTTTTTGATGATTTTGCTGAAATGTCGTCATTTTTGACGACTTTGAATCACTGTATCTTCGTTGCTGTTCATTTGATTTGTACAAAATTTTCAGGGTAAACTAAGAAAAATACGGTCTTTAACAGCATATTTTTTATTTACTTTAAAAAATTACCCTAAAAGTTTTTTTCGAACGTTAAATATTTTCTCGAAAAACCCTCGAACACGTAAACTAAGATATAAGTTGAAGTAATTTTAACCAAAATTTCATAAAGAATAATAAAGGCGTTTTAAAGTTAGATTTTTTGTACCGTGGTTCCAAAAATAATGGCCAACACTGTATCACATTTTGTTTACAAAATAATATGTTTTAAAAATTATAATTTTGCTCTTACGCCCCTGGTAAATGATTATTATTAATATTATATTTAATACTTATTTTTAAGAGGTTGGTTATCTTTTATTTAAACGATTTAAATGTTAATATTAATGTTATATAAACTATTTTATATTTAGATAATTATAATTAGGACTCTTTATTATTATACTTTTACTTTTAAAAGATAGTTAATTTTAATATAGCTTGTATAAAAAAACGTAAGATATTGTGTTTATCCCTTTGAAATAGTCAGAGCGAAAACTGTGCGTCGCATCGGGCGACCTAGTTGCGGAAAAGCGCAAAAAGGCAAAAAAGAAACTCGAGTAAGTAAGTAGTATGTAGTCACCTGTATGTCATGTGTTCGTAGTAGAGAAGAAGGAAAACGACAGCAACTGCAGCAGCCGAAGAAACTGTTGTCGTTGAGTTGAGCCCACTGACACCGTTCGTTACAAAATACGAAATCAACTTGGATTAAAAATTGCGTTATCTTTGTCGCTGTTCGCACATAACTCAGTAAAATACAAAAACAAACAATCGCCGGTGTGCGGAGTAGTAAGTAACAGGTGAGTAAGCGAGCCCGCCACCGCTTGTCAACCAACTAAGGTAGGCAATAGCACCCGAGATAGTTTATATGTGCATGGATTTCGCATGCAGGGTCGCCTCGCCAGCGAAAGATCATAAATGTCATGCTATCACTCACACACACAATACACAGTACCTGTCGCTTAATTTAGCCGAACTAGTCCTATATATAATAAAAAAAGGTGCCCTTAAACAAAAGTAGTCAACTCTCTATAATAAGATAAGAAATTATTAGCGGCAAAAAACAATATTTTGGCATAAAAGCGTACTTAATGCCTTAAAAATTTTAATCTCTTGAATGTTTCTTCTTTCAACCAAGTGCAAAGTGTTTTTGTTCAAGAGCTATACAAATTATTGATATTTACGCAATTCATTCAAGATACATCACACAATGTTTAAAATATCTGTGGTGTAAAGAGTAATCTTAAAATGGTGTCAAAATCCAACACCAAGTGGTGTTAATATAAACACCATGAATTATGGTTGAAAATTTTATATACAGCAAACACCAAAACGGTGTTTATCTAAAAATATTTGAGAAGGCACCTACACAGAAAAAAAGGAATAGTTCATTTAACTGTATATAACTGTATATAAACTTTTTGTATAAACTATATTAATTTAGTTGACCCATAAGTATTTATTTAAATCAACTGTGGGAAGGTTAATATAAACAAAGATTAGTTTGACGGTACTAAACCAGATAGTTATATTATTTTTTTTAAATTGGTTAAATTAACCTAGGAAACTTTAGTGAAACCAACCCGCTGTATGGTTCAGTTTACTAAATATGTTGTTTGTAAAATAAGAGTTACTTCAACCTAAAGCACCCTGTTAAAACGATTAAAAGAATTTACCGTGCATTCCTGGTTGCATAGTGTGTACCGATCGCGGTGTGGATCACGTGATGTTCTTAAATCTCGCCTCTGTTGACTTAGGTACATGAAGAGTATATAAGCTCAGGTAGTCCTTTGATTTGGTGTGACCCTACAAGTTGTTTGATACTAAAGAGACCTTAAATAGGTGGAAACAGCTGTCAATCCCAATAGCATGTGAATTTTCTAACAAAAGCTGGAAGCAATTGAAAATTCATATCTCGAAAACGCTTCCATGACAAAAGTGTCATTCAAACTACACAAGAAAATCATAGTGAGACATGATGGGCGAAATGGCTGTAAACTACACTGAACCAAAAAGTAGCGTAAATACAATAAAAAAGTTCATTGTCTAGATGAAATGCTTCATTAATATTGGTCCAACGAACGATTTTATCAAATCAATGAAACACATTTCATTAATTGATCAAAGAATTTATTAACCAATAAATAATTAATTTTATTAATAAAAATCAATTCATTGAAAAGAAACTGTAAGTTTTATTTATTCAATGAAATATGTTATTGTTGTAACGAACACTATTTATTTTTTAAATAACTATAATTTGTTAATTCGACAAATGTTAGTTATTAATTATATGTATATGTTTTATGAGTCTTATCAATATTACTAATAGTTAGAAAGAATAAAAATTATTATTACAATTAATTTTATTCATTAATACTGTAATCGTTAAATATAGATCATACTCTTAACGAATTATTGTAGCTGATGCAACGAATGACATTGTCAATACAATGAATTTTAGTAATTGTTAAAATAAATCAGTTTATTAATGTAATGAACCTAATTTATCGTACAATAATCTCGTACTCTCTAAAAATTATTTAGTCAAAAATGACTAATTTAATAGTTATTAGTGGCTGCTTTTTCACTTCTACCATGGTTAACCATGGAATACCATGGTATCCCAAAATTTAAGCCAATTCATATGTAAAATTGTCCCCTGTATCAGAAAATACCGTCAAAAATGATGAAAGTGGAGAAGTTTTTAAGATATAGTCAATTCCATATTAAATAGAAAATTGACTATATCTCAAAAACTCTTCTACTTTTTTAACTTTTGACGACATTTTCAGATTCAGGGGACAATTTTACATAAGAATTGGCTGTTAAATTTTGGGATACCATGGTATTTCATGGTTAACCATAGTACAAGTGAAAAAGCAGCCACTAATAACTTTTAAATTAGTCATTTTTGACTAATTCATTTTAAGAGAGTACATTATTGATATTAAAATTAAATTTAGCGCCCGTCATTATTGAATTAAGAAATTTACGGCAAAGCGGACAAGTTGGAAAAGACAGAAAAAAACTTAACGTGGGGTCGATCACCACACCAACAAATTTTTCCTGTCATTTCCCGCATGTGCGCTTTGCTGTGAATTTGCCAATGTTAATGATGAATTTCATAGACTTCCAAATACTAATAATTTTTAAATGACTTTTAACAACCCAGGAAAAATAATAAACATTATATTTATTGTTTTATTTTTATTTTTTTAAACATAGGTAATACCAAATATAACTTAACTTTACTTTTACCATGGTTAACCATGGTATCCCAAAATTTAATAGCCAATTCTTATGTAAAATTGTCCCCTGAATCCGAAAATGTCAAAAGTTAAAAAAGTAGAACAGGTTTTGAGATATAGTCAATTTTCTATTTAATATGGAATTGACTATATCTTAAAAACTTCTCCACTTTCATCATTTTTGACGGTATTTTCGGATACAGGGGACAATTTTACATATGAATTGGCTTAAATTTTGGGATACCATGGTATTCCATGGTTAACCATGGTAGAAGTGAAAAAGCAGCCACTAATAACTATTAAATTAGTCATTTTTGACTAAATAATTTTTAGAGAGTATGATTATTGTACGATAAATTAGGTTCATTACATTAATAAACTGATTTATTTTAACAATTACTAAAATTCATTGTATTGACAATGTCATTCGTTGCATCAGCTTCACTTTCATACCAAGTTTATCATGAGGTTAGCTGTTCATCTTGAAATTTTAAAAATTTATTGTAATATTCCACAAGCATAGAACCTTTAGGAGTTTCATTTAATATACTAAATAAAAATATGTAACAATCGACTGATTTTTTTATTAGAAATACAATATGGTGCGAAACGAGGTTCTTGGCAAGGTGGAGTTGATGCTCTGGAAGCACATGCCGATGGATTCATAATTATTATTAATTTGTGTTTGATTACCTGATGTTTTGCATTTAAAACATTAATTTCAAGCTCTCTATTTAGAACGTCGTTTGGATCGTTGTTATGTTGGGTATTATAATTTTTCAAAAAATTACTGTTATAGTATATACTATATATATTACACTACAAGGGCAGAAAGTGTGGGATTGCTGCACTGCGCGCCATGATGCCCGAGGCGAAGCCGAGGGCATCATGGCGCGCAGTTCAGGGCTCTCACACTTTCTGCCCGTGTAGTGTATACTATTTTTCTTACTACCTCGGCCGAGAATACAACCCGGCCGAAAATACGGGAAAAATTAAATGTGTATATCGAAACATATTGATGCCTGCCCAAATTTTGAGGTTATATTAGTGTCGTAATCATAGTTGCATATGTTGAGCACACGACTAAAAAATTTTTACTCCCGCTATTAGAGTGTGCGCGTATAGCTTGACCAATGCAAGAAACGTAAACTTTCTGCCGTGGAATCGGGGACGAAACAACGTATTCTCAGTCGAGGTAGTAAGAAAAAATGTTTTCTATTGATATGTTTTTTAAAACTACTTAAGTTTTAAAAACTTTGACCACAATAATCTTCAAAACATCTAAATACAGAATTTGTGGTAAGATCTTGATTTCGTTTAAAATGCAATATAAGTAATTTTAGGAAATTAATTTTATTTGCAAATAAAGCATAACATCGTGTTTCGACTCTAAGTATCCGTAATTTAAATTAGTTTTCCTACGCATTAGGACAAGACGCTATAAGTGTTTTTTAAACCTGTAAAGCCTATAGGCTTTATTTATTATTATAATACTAATAAATCAGTTTATCAAAATTATATTTAAAAACTAAATTATAATTACCTTTTTTTAAATAAAGCCAGTCACTAAGAAATACACTGTGCTAAGAAATATCCTCTTTCATTCAGTTGATGCCCGCACTATTTTTCAAATGAAGGAAACAAAGCAGAGCTATAGCTAAAGTTTCCAAACTCGCCTTGTCAAGAATTTTCATGTCCTTTTATTGTTCCAACGTCAACATTCATTAAAACAATTTAATCCCTACGTTGAGACAATATTAATAATTAGTATTATATTTAATTTGTTTGGTTGTACGTTAATATAATTAACATTAACATTAACATTAACTGTGTACATTAATTCAATGATTGTTTTACCGTTAGTACTTAGTACATTGATTCAATGAATTCGTTTGTTAATATATCATTAATCGATAATACATACTGTACATTAATACCGTGATTTTTATAATTAGGACCAAGTACATTATTTCAATGAATGCATTCGTCAATGTAATGTATACTTTTAATGAAGCATTTTATTTGTTCGTTGCGGAAATTAATCACAAAACATTAACACAATGGACAAATTATCATTTAATACTTTATTACATTTTCATAACAAAACAATTTAGTAAAAGTTGTCCATAAGAATTAATCAACAAATTCAAATTGTTTACTGGACTAATAAAAAATTTGTTGCCAAAATAAATATTATACTAATGTAAAATTAATTACTATTACAATAATTACTAGTTCATCATGATGATGAACCACGTGATTAGTTAATAAAATACCGTACATAACATTTCTTTACATTAATGAAAAAATCGTTGTCCCAATAAAACATTAGTCAATAAACTGAATTAATTAATATTATGGACTAAATTTTTTTCAGTGTATTAACAACAATTAACTGCTATTGACGATAATTACATATTATCACATTATACATAATCACAATAGTTTACAGCCATTTTGCCATACAAATTTGTATCCCGGACATTTAGCAGTCAACTCCTATGTAAAATTGTCCGCTGAATACGAAAATGTCAAAAGTTATAAAAGTAGAACGTTTTTGAGATTTAGTAAATTTT